TCCCATAGGTTGGGGTCCTTAAGGTAATGCAAAGATTTATACCATCAACCGCATCACATAACACCGCCGACTCAGGTTTGGGTTTCTAGGTTCGCTTTTTGTTGTGGTGGTTTTGGGTTTTTTGGCACTCACACTCGGACAAAGCCTGGCAGGGCTTGGCCAGGATTTATATGGGGTTTCAGGGTTTTGTTTTAGTTTATCGGGCTGCGTGGCCTGGGGGTTCAAGAGTTCAAGGTTATGACCTACTTTACTGCAAGGCTTTTAATTACAAACTGTTTTGATAGGCCCTTGAGGTTTTTGTTAATAAAGAAGTTTCTGAAATCAAAGTACAATCACTCTATGGGAAAATTATGGGCAAGTCGGAAGACCTTGAAAAGGGTTTGTTTAGAGTTTAAGGGTTTTAGGGTTTAGGGTTTAGGGTTTTGGGGTTTAGGGTTTGAGCCATCACCGCGGAGCCCTGCACCCGCCTCCTCGAAGTCGTTGATGGTGGTCTCCAGATCCACGAACGCTCCCGGAGTGCCGGTGAAGATCTCAGCCACCTGCAGGTCTGTGCTAAGGCTCCAAGCCTAACGATTGAGGGTTGAGAAAAAGTGTGAATCCCTGACCCTAAACCCTAAACTGTGGTGGTCTCTCCCTCCGCTCTTGATCTCTCGCTCCCGTCGGTTTTCTGATTCTGACGTGTAGTTACTTGGAGAGTAGCAGTGTTAGATGAACTATTTGGGTTTAGGGTTTAGGGTTTAGGTTCTCGAGAAGGTTGCTGGCTTCGGTGCTTCTGCCCTAAACTCTGAACCCTAAGCCCTACACCCTTAACCCAAAGCCCTAAGCCCTAAAAAGCCTCAGGGCGATTCAGGAAAATCCGCGACCATTGAACTGTACGGAACACAGTTCAAAAAGCCATCCCGGAACCCGAACATCAACTCGAAGAAAAACCCCACCAAGCCCGGCGACCAGCCCCTACATACACCTTAAGCCGGAACCCTGAACCCCAAACCTTAGACTCTGGGGTTTGTAAAAAATTGATATATTCGGGAATCGGGAATGCGAAGGAACAGCCTTGCAATCAGTCAGGCCCCATTATATGAAGACTCTCTACTTCGTTGTATGCTTGGCTCCCGGCAAAGAAGGGCTGGGACAGGAAGCGCTGGACCTGGTCAAGGATTATAGGGTTTAGGGTTTCAGTATTCACCAAACCCTCACCTAATCTGGGGGCTGAGTACCCCCGCCCGAAAAATGTTAACCTTTAAAGCTATGGTAGGATTATATATAAACACATATATATATATATATGCATCTGTATATACACCAATATATATATATATAAGAACCCAAAAAGGTCAAAGGTTAAGCAACAGGTCCAGGGCAGTTTAGGGTTTACAGTTGAGGGTTTGGATCTGTTGACGAGATTCTGAGAGAAGCCTGACCCTAACCCTAAAACCTTAAACACTAAAACCCTAAAACAACCCTAACCCCTAAACCCTAAAGCCCTAAACACCGAGTCTCGGAGGGTGCCTTGCGGGCTCGGGCCACAGTCAGCTTGTCCTCTTCAGAAAGCTCATCCATGCCCAGGATCGCGATGATGTCCTCACGGTTTCGGGTTTAGGGTGTTTTGGTGTGTTTTGGGTTTTGGGTTTAGGGCTTTGGGGTGTTTTGGGGTTTCCGAGTTTTGGGTTTGGGGTGCCAGTCCTGGGGTTAGTTTCAGCATGGTTTCAACAACAGTAACTGTTCCAATGGCTCCAACCCCTCTGCAGCCACTGCGGTGCCAGGAGTCCACTCCTAAACCCTAGTCCATAGATCCCATATTGAACGGCAAACCGTGCACCCTAAACCCCAAGAAACCTTACAACCCTGGGCCCTGGGCCCGAAACCTTAAAGCCCCGAAGCCCTAACCATAAACATTTGGACCCAAAGCCGCTATAGCCTCAAATTCGTGACTGCCCCGGCTTCGGCTCTCCTGCAGAGACTTGTAGTCCTGCAAAATCTTCTGCGTGCTGCGGGCAATGTCGTAGTGACCTTGTAAACGAGCCCAACAATGGCCCTAAACCCTAAACCCTAAACCGATGGAACCGTTGCAAAAAGGTCCTGCCTTCCTTTAAGGAGGGGGTCTATGTTGCTAGATTCTTTGACGGGTCCCTGTAGGATGCCCTCAACCCTACCTTAAACTACCAAAGCCTAGTTTTTTGAAGGGTCCCCTATGGATTATATATTAAGGTTCATAACAAGAACCGATACCAAAAACCTAGGTTATGGTAGTTTAAGGTATATCTTCGAACCCCAAGTCCCAACCTCTCTCTACACTCCCCGAACCCTAAACCCTAAACCCTCAACTTCACCGTCAGCTCTCAAACCTAAATCCCTGACGAAGCTTGCCGCTAACATGCGGCAGGGTTCAGGGCGTCGTGCCCTTCGGGGTGGAAGGTTTAGGGTCTAAGCCCTAAACCCTAATCCCCCACGCCCCAGGACCTTCTTCAGATGGTACCGAGCCGAAAGATTAACATTTTTTTGGAATTAGAGCTGGCAGGCTTGGAAGCCATGCGTTGGTGTTTCTTAAAGGGAGCTATAAGGGTTTCTGGGGTTTAAATCGGGGTACCCTAAGGGTTTAGGTTTTAGGGTTTTAGGGTTTAGGGTTTCGAGTTTAGGCTTATGAGGGTTTTAGGGTCTGCACAGCCGAAGGCCCCAAGCCCGCTGTCAGCACAGTTCACATACAACTCTTCGCAACTGTTCCTATGGAATGCTACACTCAACAGAGCTTGCCGTGTTCGCGATACCCGGAACTACTGAAACCAAGGCTTTCAAGCAAATGAACTTCCAGCCGAAACTCTCAAACCCTATAAACTCCACAACCGTAAAACTCTAAACCCTAACCTGCGTGAGGGTTTAGGGTTTAGGGTCCTTAAATTTATAAAGCTCGAAAACCCGTTTCATTTTAACCGCCAGGAGTCGTTGTCCGACGATCGACGGGTCAAGCATTCGGGACCTGCTGGGCAAACCAGTAAAAACCTCACAGTTTAGGGGTTCAGGGTTCTTGAGTTTGGTGTTTGGGGATCTTTCAATTAGGGTTCTGGTTTCTCGCAGCACGTCTTGAGAACTCTAAAGTACCTTGGGCATAAAGAGCAGCGTCGCTTAACGGGCTACCGAAATTCTTCGCCAGGCTTTCGGGCAGCTCCGCTGCGGCTGTGCTGAACGTTCTCGTTCTTGCCTTCTGTGCACCCACAATTTCGCACTTTTCCGGTTTTGCGGAAAACACCAACACGAAACTTGATCTCAAACTTGTCGTCAGAATCACGACTGACGAGCACTGCACTGAAAACATGCTTTTGTTCTCAGTACCCTGGACTGAGCATCGGGCGTGGAGTCCAGGGGGTCCACAGCTGGGTAGATTCCAAGTTCCGCAATCTGGCGCGACAAAACCTTGGAGGCAAAGTCGCGGTGAAGAACATATATATATATATATCAACAGACATATATATATATGTATATAATATAAATATATTATGTGTATATATATATATAGACAGAAAGATAATGAAAGATAGATAGACAGACAAACAGATAGATAGATTCAGATAGATAGGTTCAGAAGCCTCCGTTGAGCAAGAACCCCGCACCCAATGAATCCCTAAACCTGCAGCCCTCCAGCCGCAACACAAAACTTGCAACCTACACTACCCGCAGTTTGACCGGTTTTGGGGGCGATTCGCCGGAACAGCACGCGAAAGACCTCAAGACATTCTGACCCAAGCTTACGAAAAGTAACACGCAGCCACCTGCAAAGTCATCGCTGTTGTCAGCCTCCCTCCACCTCCTCCTCCTCATCCTCCTTCTCCTCGTTCCCCTCCCAATCAAAACAACCACCTTGGCCAATATCATGTTTAACGCCATTGCCAGCGCCATGCACATCATCATCATCATCAACATCATCATCATCATCATCATCACCATCACGATCACCATCATCAACATCAACATCAACATCAACATCATCATCATCATCATGATCACAATCACCATGACCATCACCATCGTCATCGTCATCGCCACCATCATTATGACGGTCATGGTGTAGCGATCTTCCGGGTGCTAGCTAGCCGAATCACCATGAGGGAGGTCATATATTCCAACTTGAGGTTCCGGCCGTGGTGGCATCCAAGTGCGCGAAGGTCGTGGCCTCTGCGCTCAGAGAAACACTTGCGGGATGATCGAGTCTCCAGGGATGAAGCACGTTATCGGGAAGAAGGATTCTGGTTCCGGCGCCCACGTTGAACCACGCCGGCTTCCGGATTCGGGGTTTAAGATGTTTTCGGCTGGGGGCTGAGATGTCTGCTGCAGCCGGCGAAGGGGTACACTTTCAGAACGTGTCTCTCGACATCTTCACGACATGTATTCCTTTGGGATGCGGTTGGAGGTTTTGGGGAACAAGTGTAAGGTTTAGGTGGGCACCAAGCAGTCTAGACGAACTGATGCCCAGTGGAGTTCCACCTTGACTTTTCTGGGCCGACCTCTGCTGATTTAAACCGGAGTCTGAGTGGTGAGCAGGAGCAGGATCGGTCAAGTCGTCGGCAGGGACGTAGACAGCCTCCGGCAAAGTGCACCCAACCCTAAACTTAAACCTCGAACCGTGCCCAATCCTAAATCCGAATCTGCTGCCTGCACCGAGGTGATAGATCCCTTCTGCGTGGTGGTGATGCGCTCCTCCAAAGCTTGCATCTTGGGGTTAGAAAGTTTTGTGCCGTCTTCACTTGAAGGAGCTGGTTCCAGGGCCTAGGGTTTCGGGTTTGGGGGGTAGAGTGCTTTGGAAAGCCCATCAAACCCTGGAAAGCTCAAATCGAAGCCTTTCGAGAGCCTTTGAAGTATCCTACTACAGCGTGTATGAAGGATATCCGTTTCAGCGCTGCTGGGGTCGGCACCTATGGTCAAAACAGATCCTAGCGAAGGATGCCTCGCGGTTCAGGGACCATGGCTTTAGGGTTTCGGGTTTAGGGGTTCAGGGTTGAGGCATTAAGTTTTTTTTCTTTTTAAGGGCCCTTTTCCATCCGCCTACACGGTAGAAGTCCTTACCTGAGGCATTAAGTTTAGGCTTCGGGGTTTAGGGGTTTAGGGTATTAGCCTTCTAGGAACCCCCTTTAAAACAAGGAAGCCTCACAGGATGTAGAATGCGGTTTGGTGCTCTGATCTGGCAGCCGCAACCTGAAAAGGGGCTTGAATCCGAAACCTGACCTGGGCCTTTGGATTTAGGGGTTTAGGGTTTAGGGGTTTAAGGTTTAGTGTCTAGGGCTTAGGGGCTTTAGGATTTAAGCCTTGGGGCTTAAGGTGGCGGCTCATGAAGCATGGCCGCGAGACGGCTACGCTGCTAAACTAAGGCAGGAAAGCAGTTAGGGTTATTTAAGGCCCCTATGATACCCTGTAGTGCATATCCCCTCAACGTTCATCGCTATAGACCCCGAAAGCCTCTATACTGCGGTAGAGATTCGGAAACCCAAAACCCCTACAAACCCTCTTAGAGTAATAGACCCTCAAAACTAAGACTAAAACCCTTAGCTCCTAACCCCTTGCAACCCCTTGTCGAACCCTTAGAGAGTCAGAGACTCTAAACCTCCAATCACGCTTAGTTCGAGAGATAGAAACCCTGAACCCTAGGAAACCCCCTAGAGCTGATAAGGTCTCCTGCAGCGACGCCAGGTCTGTTGCCAAGGTGGGCTGGTAGCCCACAGCGCTGGGAATACGACCCAGAAGAGCCGACACCTGCGTGAAGCGAGCGAGTGCAGAAGGGCAAAAATACTACTAGTTCGAACAGGGTCTGCAAGGAGCTCCGTTTTTGTATAATCACAAGAAGGAACCATAAGGAACAATGTCGGCAATTATTATTATATCAAACTACACTAACTGGACGGCTGGCCTCGGATCCCGCTTGAGTGAAGCGGAAGATGTTGTCAACGAACAGCAGCACGTCCTTTCCAGTGGATCTGGGGTATTCGACGGAGCTTCCGAAGCCTTCACATAGAAACAGAAACCTCACATCCGATACTAAGGAAGCCCTGTCAGGGGTATCACTGGGTATGATGGGGCTGAAAAACCTGTCCTAAACACCTAAACCCCTAAACCCCTAAACCTTAAAAGCCCAAAAGCCCTAAAGCCTAAACCCTAAACCCCTAAACCCCCAAACCCCTAAACCCCTAAACCCTAAACCGCACCAAAAAGAGCTCCCCAGAGAACGGTCCTGGCCCTCCTCGTCGCGGAAGTACTCCGCCACGGTGAGGCCCGTCAGGGCCACCCGGGCCCTAGCCTGGGTTCGGTTTAGGGATTTAGGGTTTAGGATTTAGGGTTAAGGGATTTAATCTAAGTTACCATAAATAGGGATCTATACTAAATAATATGGGCTTCCTTATTCTGGTAGCTTAAATGAAATCCCTTAACAAGAGCCCAGTAGCTCCAGGCGGCTCGTTCATCTGGCCGTAGACCAGGGCGGCCTTGCTGAGAGCTTCTGGGCTTAATGTAGAAGCCTTGATAATTAGAATAGGTTTTTCGGACCCATTATACTATAATTTTAAAGAAGGAACCCCCAAAACAGTATAGGTAATTGTTTAGGCCCTTATATTAATTCGGGTCTCTGTAGAGTTGAAGGGTTCGCAAGATCTTTCGGGTTTTGAGGGCTAGAGAATCTCTATATATAGAGCTTAGGGATTCGTAAGAGCTTCAGGGTTCTTAATGGGGATTCTGGGATTCTTCTCGGGGCGACGGAACCGAGGGCTAGGGGCACTGAGGCCTGGAGGTGCTCTGGGGACTTGGGCCTTCCTTCTTTCAAGCTGGGGTTTGCGGGTTCAGGTAGGGTTTAGGGGCTTAGG